ACCTCCCTCTAACCTTCCTCTGGAATGACCGGTTTACCACTGAGTTGAGGTTGGACTCCAGCCTACCTTAGGAAAGTGAATTCTCTACATATAAAATGACCATTTCTCAGAAACTGCTAACTTTGCCTTCCTCTAACAGTCTTCATATAATTTCCTGTATGCAGATTTTTTTTCCAAATACCAAAACATGGATGAAGCTTTCTTTTCTTTCTTGAGATTGAAAGAAACAATCTTAACACTGTCAGCTTTTATTTTAAGAGTGCTTGCCTGTGACTAGGACTCTCTATATTTGTTTTCCTAATATGTTTTTTCAGCTTTCTCTTGAAAGTGTTGAAAGTCTGGCATCACCTTAAACATGGTATAACGTTTGTATTCTTACTTGTACATTTTAGAGTTCACTTAATGAGTTGCCTTTTTTTGGGGTGTAGGGGGTGGTGCGAGGAGGGTCTTCTTTTTCCTTGTGATGCAGGGAGTTTAAACTACATATTTAAACTACATAATAGCATTTGAGGGGGAAGAGAATGTTCTGCCTTAGAAAAAACGAGTCACTATATCCTGGAGAAATTGCTCGAGCTGCTAATGATGGCAGAGGACCTCCAGCTGCATTTTGTTTGAGCAGGGATTAGAGAGCTAGCAACAGCCAAGTGAGCTTAACTCAGGAAGAGCTGTGTGTAACTTCTGTGGGTCCTACCAGGCAACTTCTGGTTTGTGAAGCTTGTCCTCAAGGGGGTGGTTTATTTGTGTTTAATGACGCATAGACTTGTGGACAAGCTCCATATTATTTTTTTGTAAACCATGCTGTTTGATCCTGCAAAATGAAAGGGAATGCTTCAAGTACCCTCCTACATTCTAGAAATCAAATATTTTATTGAATCACTTAAAGAGGGACAGGAAAGATAATTTTTCTGTGTGTCTTCCTACAATGACTATAAAATGACCCTATTGATACCTGCAGCCCACATTATGCGGTTCAGAGATGGATGAATCATACTATTTTCTAGCAGTTTGTCTTCAGGAAATCTCTTCTTTTATTCCTATTTACATGTCTGCTTTACTCAGTCACTGGCAAAAAAATGATCTCGAATTCAAAACCTGCGACTAGGTTTTGAGGTAAAGGACACATTGTTCCTCTCCTTTACCTCTAATGTCACTCTACAAAGGGTCAGTCTGTTCCTCCTCTTTGTTTTCTTGCATAAAGACACCTCCTCCCCAACATCACTATTCTGCTGGCCTCTCCCAGCACTGCATTCATTCTCACCTGATTTAAAATCTTCACGTACACAGCTGATGAAAGAATCCATCTTTACCCAGCAGCTCTATAAATCTTTAAGTAGACTTAGATTTACACATAAAACAGCATGAAAGATGATGATAATAAATTAAGAGACTGTGATGAACTTGTTCAATGCAAGTAATAAGGCCTCCTATGCATAAATAAAAACAAAGAGATTGGCAGAAGTTTTCAGCATTCCCAACTGACAGGCATCCATGGAAGCTCACATAGCCATCCAAAGGTACTGGAAGTTGAGTGGGAGATGAAAGATATTGCAAAAAATAAAAATGTAATGCAAGGCTTTGTATTCAGCAGGAAAATCAATGACAGGGAAGGGAGGTGAAAGCTTTGGGGATTTTCCCTGATCTCAACTTCTTTGACTTGTATGTGACAGGGTTTGAGCAACTTCTGTTTCAGATGACTTAATCTGCATTACAATTATAGCAGATAAGCATCTGTTCTAGCACAGGCGGAAATGTGGAATCCATACTGGATCATCTTTGCAAAGAAGGAAGCTCTAGTACATGAAAACCATTTTGAGAGAAATATTCCTTAATGGCTACCATATATGACAATCTGTTTTTCATTGATAACACTGCCTTTACTACAACAGCCATGCACACGTTGTACCTTCAATAAGAATCGGCTGCAGTTTGGCCAGGAAGAAATAGTGACATAAGTTTCAGGGGACTAATATGGTGCTCTCTCAAATGATGTCCACAAACTGGAAACTGCTTATTCAAAACTTGAGACAGAATTTTTTCTAGAGTTCCTACACAAGGCCTAACTGCTAGAATTGTATGAGAATTTCAGAAGTCAAGTTTTTAAAGTTCCTATCCTATATTTACCTTTTAATTTCACCGTCTAAAGTAAGTTCTGCTTATATCTGATGCAGTGATGTCTGTACAAAGGACAAGAGCATTCACAAAACATGACTACAGCAGCCAGGAGGACAGAAAGGTTACTGATCCCACACTTCCACCAAGACACCAGATAACATTCCTGCTTTGGGGTTAAAATTTATGGGTGACAGGCAAGAGGCAGAAGATTTGGCATCTCTTGAATGTATGTTTTGTCCATATAGATTGCTTCCTCCTTGACCTGTCTTTTTTCTTTGAGTTTGCAACTTGGGTTTGTTGGCAGAAAAATTATGATCTTTGTATCTCCATAATAAAATTTTGTACATAGTGTGTCACAAATTGATAAATGAAGATTTGTTAGTGTTTTAGTTTCATGTCCAATAAAGCTGGTGCAAATCTTCACATGGTTAACACAGACCTGAGTTGGAGCACGGCACATTTGAAATGATGTCTTTGGTTTCCATGAGAATGAGAGGCAATTTTTTGCTGGTTAGATACAGTGTACAACATGAAGACTTTCTTTAATTCCACATGGACACGTTTGGATATCGTGATCTTAACTGAAGGATGTGAAACTTCTGAAGAACTAGGTCCAGTCAGTTTTCAAGAACAAGGTTGTCAGCATGGTGCAATGCAGCTCACTTTGAGTCAGAGTTTCAAGGAAAGTAAAATGGCTTTTCTAGAGATACCCTAGTTTAAAAAAAAAAACAAACAACAAAAAAGAAAATCCACTATGCTATGTCATTTAGCAAGGAGTAGTTGAAGACTCAAGGTAACTATATCTAGGTCATTAGAGATATGAACTTGATTGGAGGTACCTGGATAAATATAATGCTACTAAAATAATTTCTTCAAAAACCCCACCAGAACCAGAATTACATGTGCCCTTTGGCTCACAGAATATATTAGATATTTGAGTAGAAATATGATGTGGAAAATCTCTGTCTTCTAAGTGTGCTGATTTGCCATTTTGTATGTGTGTGATTGTCTTCATCAGTGACCATTTTTTCTCCCAGGAGGTGCTGTTAACAAATAAGGTGAAAAAGTGTCACCTATTAACCAAAGACTTAGGAAGAACAGCTCTGCATGCACCAGCAGGGACAGAGTGAGCTGGGGGTTGAAAGAAGGCATAAGCAGCAGTGAAAAGCCTGCCTGCCTGCTGCTCTGCTGCTGTAACTATGGGTGCTCTGGGCATGATGTTCACCTCAAAGGAAATTTGGACTTGCTGTCAAACTGTATTGGATGGAACTTGGTTTTCAATCAGGACTTTGGGTTACTTTTTTCCTGATTTTCAAATATGAATTTGAAAATGATAAAATCTCAAATGTCAGTGGGGATCTACATTTTAATTTTATAATGGCAAAAAGTAAACTTGAGACAAAAAGGTTTTATCTCTGTTTAACCTACGTACGTATCTATGTATGTATGTATGTATCTCGCTGTCTATCTATCTATCTATCTATCTATCTATCTATCTATCTATCTATCTATCTATCCCATTTATCTCTTATCCTTTTCCATTATTAGCAAAGACTAGTTTAGGAGATAATTCTTCTATTACCTGGTTACTCAGAGAGAAGCATTTCTTTGTTAAGATCTTTGAGAAATTACGAGTTTCAGAATTAAGATTAATTGCCCCACCTGGTTACAGTAAGGAATTTAAGGAACAGTAAGAGACAGACTTGTTGATGAGGGGAAACAAATAATTTTGGAAAACACCACTACACCTGAATTAGTACAATGCTGAACTGTGCTTTACTTAAGCAAGAAATACCATGTTTAAAAAACAGGCTAGTGAATTGTGGTTGAAAATTAGAGGACACTACTTCATCCCTTCAGCTGCACAGGTTTGCACATGGTCCTTTTTACCTCCTGCCTGTATTGGCATGGCAGTGTGAGTGGGTGTAACAGCACAGAGAGGATGTGAGTGGGATTGATTTGGCACACTATGCATGCGAGGCACACACAACTGCTGCTGTTTTATTTCGCCACTACACTAACAGGAACGACCCTTCTATAGATGTTTCTAGCTAAGGATTTTGCAGTCGGGGAGGTAGCATGCTTTAGTATAATTCGCCTGCATTTCATAACCTGCAGATTTCATAACCTGTTAAAGAGTGGCATTGCAGCACAGGAATTTTATTTCTCTATGGCTTCTTTTAGTTCTCTGGTGGGAAGGGAAGATGAGTTTTGGGGATTTTTATAGTCACGTTCGAGAATTTGTCAGTCTCTTTCTTTCCCACTGCTGTTTGCCTTGTTCAGCCTCAGCCCCCGCACCCTCCTCGCCAAATTCACGGCAGAATTCCTGAGCTCCCGCTCGGGAACTGGCAGAACGCTGCGGCATGGCGGGCCGGCGCCCACCTCGCTACGCGCTGCGCATCCTGCCCGGCCGCACCGCACGGCGCCCGGGGAGCGGGATGCGATTTCTCCTCCCGTGCGGCCGCGTCCCGCTGCCGGTGCCGAACTCGCAGCGGCCCCTCCGCCCCGGCCCAGCCCCGGGGGTCTCCGCTGCAGGCGCAGAGCCGCCTCTCGGCTGGGCTGGGCTGGGCTGGGTTGGGCTGGGCTGGGCTGGGCTCGGCTCGGCGGGGCAGATGGGGCGGGGCGGGGGGCGATGGATGAAGGTGCATCCCCCCGGCCCGGCCCCACCTCTCTCCCCGCCGGGCTGGGGACCCGCCACCAGCGCTCCAGGGCGGCGCGGGGGGAAGGAGGAGGAGGAGGAGGGGAGAGGGAGGGGAGAGCGAGGGAGGGAAGACAATAAGTAAGGAAGGAGAGAAAGAGGGAGGGAGGCGAGGTGTAGCCGCCGCCTTGTCGCTCTGCGTTCTGCAGGCAGCGCGGAGGAGAGGACAGCCCCCGGCAGGCGTCCCGGCATGCTGAAAGTCACCATGCCCTCCTCATCCTCATCCTCCTCGTCCTCCTCATCCTCCTCCTCTGGCTCCTCTGCCGCCAGCCGCCCCGGCTCCGCCGCGCCCGACTACTGGATCGATGGCTCCAACAAGGACACACTGGCTCACTACTTCGAGCTGGAGTCCGAGCTGGGACGGTGAGGCGGCGCCGGGCCGGGCCGGGCCGGGCCAGGGTGGGGGGTCCGGGCTGGGTGTCCCTGCCCGCGTCGCTATGGCGAGAGCGGCAAAACTTTGGCGTGCGTGAGCGGCAGCGGGAAACCGAGCGGCTTTCACAAGGGGCAGGCATTCGAAGGAAAAATCTAAGCTCCCCGGGAGCCGAGCCGAGAACTCCCCGGCTGAAGGGAATGATTTTTAGGAGGATTTTGGCCCGAGCGGGCGGCTTTTAGCCAGGGTGCCTGTGTGCTGCCGGCTGGAGGGTGGGCATCGCTTCGGGAGCACCGAAACGCCGCCTCATTCACGGCATCCCTTCACACCAAACCTTCCGCCGTTCTCTCCATTACCGGAACCCTGCGCTGGCAAACTCCCACCCGAGACAGGATTCCCTGAATAGGCCTCTGCAGGCAGGGTCCTTCCCATCGGGGTGCAGTGTAGGCGAGTGAGCTGCTACAGCTCCATTCATTAATTTTGCGCTACTGCCCTGGTGATGGTCCTGCCCGGCAACTTAAAGGTCCCAAGTCTTCAGGTTCTTAAAAACTGAAGTCTGGTGTAAAGCACTGTATCTGACGTGCAGTTTTTGCCCTCCTCATGCATTTGGTAGTTCATGTTGAATTCACAGGTAGAAAATAATGTGCAAAAAAGTGGAAAATTACAGGGTTTTTTAAGAGTTCACGGTACATTACTTAAATGTGTAAGTCAGTACGTAGCAAATAGCAATTGTTAGTTTTGCCAATGATAGAGTATTTAAACAGCTGAAAAAATGTGGGAAATTTGCAGATAATAACATGGTTGCCTTGGTAGAATACTTCTTTCAGAAAGGATGTATAATGAAAGTTAATTGCTACAAAGCACACCTGTGCTTCCTGTACCATAACTGATAGAGGCAGAAAGGTGATAGAAATACAATATAGTATAATTCTTGGCTCTCTGCCTAGGTCTTATGCATCTGCTGCTACTTTTTTTCCCCCACTATTGCTACTATTTCTAGCCAGATTTAAATAGGTATAGTTTTTTTGTATGCATATCATATTTCTACTTGACTTCACTGCACCCCTGTGCCAAAGCATAAAAACATAAAGCGGGAATAATGCTGTGTTGGTTTTGTGTCTAGAGTTGACAAAAAAGAGAACAAAACAGAATGTTGGTAGATGACAACAGTTGATACCAGCCCTGTCACCCGGATTAGTTCTCTTCTCTGGGGTCTGTCTAGAATCCTCCCACCATTTGTGATAGTGGGCTTTCCTTAAGTGTAATCTGTATTGGTGATACATCTTGGATTTATTGCATAAGGAAGGATTTTCAACATGTGAAATCTCCAGTTGTAGGTAGGAAGAGTTAATGCCTGTAAAAGCACTAGAGCAAAGATGAGATACAGTGGATTCTTCTATCTTGCAACGTGAGAAAGTGAATGCTGAAACACTAACAAAAGATTTGAATATGGAAGGTAACCACATTCAAGTAGTGTACAGATGTGAGCCGTTAGGTCTGCACTGCTCCTGGGTAGAGCTAGGAAGTACGACTTAAAACAAAAGCAAAAACAATACAGGAGAAAACAACCATCTTAATCAAAAATTAAGAGGTAGAGACGGGACAGAAGAACTTGGAGGGGTACATGCTTTGAGATAAAATTTCTCTAATGGATATGGCAATGAGGGTCTTTAGGTCCCAAGGCCAGCTTTGAGGTATTTTCAGAGCCAGCATCCAGGGTGTTAATGGTTGTCTCAGAACCTCTCTAATAGGTGTATCTTGGCAAATCTATAAGGAAGATCCAACAATCCCTCTTGGTTCCCAAGTGTAATATAAAAGTGTACTGTTTTCTCTTGGTAATCTTGTCTCCAAACTTTTAGTTTTGGATATGGTTTTGAGTACATCTACAAAAAAAAAGTATTCATTGCTTAGTTAGGTTAGTGGTGGGGAAAATGTGTCAGGTGAGGCTGAGTAATGTAGCTATGTGATCCCTTTAGATGCAGTAAATAAAGTAATATACTGATGTAACCAATGGAAAACATTGTCCTAAATTATCTTTAGCAAATATAGGGATTGAAAGATGACTTTTGGCAGACTCCAAAAACCTGCATTTGGACAGCTGTGGCCAAATATGGGAATTTTCCTTTGGAAAGGGTACCCCTTGTGCAAAGTATGTCTGAGATATGCCTAAGAAATCTTACTCTATAACTCTTGCTTGCATGACTGGCCAAGGAGTCATAGAAGAAGAGGGAGACAATCCTTTTAGGAAGAATAATAAATGTCTATAAGCTTAGGTGGGAATCAACAGTTGTTTTAAACAGTGGATCAGTTCACATATCAGTGCTGCTCAACATGTTCATAGATAAAGGGATTGAACAGAAATATTTGCTGGTCTTTGTAAATGGATGAGGTTTTAAAGGTTGTGTTACCTATGAAGAATTACAGAAAGAACTTACTCTACAGTTGGGGCATTTAAAAATTTAGTTAGATAAATAAAATGGATGTAGAGAAGAAACGATTAAGAAACCATTTAATTCTCGTCTGTCCCTAGTAAAACCTGCAGTGAGGTTTAGAGAGGCACATTTGGCCTGGATAGAACATCTCATTAGAGGTGCTTGTTGGCTGGTTTGGGTTTTTTTTTCCATGCAGTCTCTTTGGAGTATCTGTCAAAAAATGGGGTATCCAGTCAAAAATCAATGACAGGAGGTAAAGCCACTTAGCACAGTGTACTGGAAGTCCTCACCACTGGATACTATGGATATTAAAGGGTTACATGGACTTAATGGGCAACTTGGCAAGTTTACATGCAGGAAATTCACTAATACTGATTTAACATGAAGATATTAACTATTGAACTGTAAGTTGTTGAGAATTTTGTGGGTGTTCTCTGATAGTGTTGGCAGGAGTTTGCTCTATTCTTACATTCTTCTTGAGGCATCTGTGTTGGGCCACTGTTTGTACTCTGGGCTAGTTAGGCCTTTATTATCGTTCTTTTATTCTGTTTTTATGTTCCACTGAAGCCCTGATTAGTTCAACTTCCTCTTAGTCGATTTTTTGCAAGGGTTTTTTTGTATAAGTGGAGCTCAAAATACTGTAAATGATAAATTTTGTGCTTTGTTTTACAGGTTGCAATTGTTGATGTAGAGTTTGGAATTTTGTTCTGAGTGTATTTAATCTAAAAGCTTATTTTCCACGCTCTCTTGGAAAAAGATATTGAAAATATTGAACTCTAAACTTCTATTTCCTTAAGGACTAAAACCTTTTGTAAGCCTTATATAATCCTTGCTGTATCTTTTGGTACAGAGTTTCTGAATTCAGGGTTGGTCTAAATATGGTATTTGAGTGGCGAAGAAATTCAGTAATAATTTTTTTGATACTCATCAATACTACAAAAAATTTTCTTTGTTGGAATTTTACATGACAGGCACCCTCTTTGCTTAACTAACATAACTGAGTTGAAACTGTCTAAAGTTATTATTGTAGGCAGATTGCAAATCTATTAAATGTTCAAAAGCAGATTGCAGCACTTCCAGTCAAATTCTTCGGGCTTTCTTTCTTCCAAGGTTACCTTTTCCTGCATGGACAGTCTTTTAGTTGTGTGATCCTTTCTGAACACTGAAAGGCTGTCAATACTTGGCAACTTAGCTTGGACTGACAGTGTGAGCTGAGTCATAGGTAGTTTGTGTCCTGAGTTTTTAGCACAGAGAAAGTTTAAATCTAATGTACAGTTTGAACTCAAGATTTCAGTGTGCAGAATGACATCTTACTCTGTCAATCCTATTTTTGAAAGCTGTCATCCGAACATCTACTTTTGTAATGGCAATAGTAGGTGAAGTGAGCTAATTGTTAGCTGATTTAAGCTAGCAAAGCTAAAACTTCTTTGTCAAGCTGATAAAAACATTATTTTATAGAAATGGTTTGGTTTGGCACTTGATTCTTTGAAGGTCAAATAGTTTTTGCTTTGAAAGCATGCCAATTATTTTACCCTCCATCCCTTCATTAAAAAAAGGTTCCTTTTTCTGTTCATCTCAAGAGTAATCTGTTTTACAGTCTCTTTGCCCTGTTTATTTTGAGAATCACTTCTTCAGTGTGCTTTAGAGGGTGCATTTAAAATAGTTCTGTCCCTCCTTCAATCCTCAGTGTGCTTTAGAGGGTGCATTTAAAATAGTCCTGTCCCTCCTTTAATAACACTCTTGCTCACTTGCTTGTGAATTTTTTGTTTCTTAGTGGACCTGAGGCTTTTCCAAAGTGATGCAGACATGCAACTGATAGACAGCTCATGGTGCTAGCTGGCTGTCTGAATGTGAGGGTGTGGAATCCTTTTAGGAATCATGATGAGAATGGCCTTTGAGAAGAAGCTGCCAGTGTAGATTTGCCTGTGCCACAAACTTGCTTGTGCCTGTAACTTGCATGTTACCCTCACACCTTCCCAGGAGCAGGAAGCATTTTCCCTCAGGCAGTTCCTGGCCATCGGGAAGGTTGATGAAGAGATGGGTCTAAGGCCTCATTTGGGAACATTGTGGCTGGACCTTGCTTTGAGGTAGGACAGTGGGAGATAGAGTGGGCAGGGTGAAGTTTATCACTTGGGTGCCAGAAAGCAGAACTTGCAGTGAATAGCCCAATTCTGTACTCAATGCAGGGAGTGATTTTTTTCCTAGTTTTGTCTGGTTCAGTTCAATAACTGGTTGATTCAGAAGTAAAAAGCTGTGTTGAAAAAGCAATTAAAGAAAATTTACTGTTCTGTAAATAATATCTGACATGAATAGGTGATCAGTTCTGTGTAAATTTAACAGCTTTCTTATATTTAGAGAAAGAGCTATTAATAATGAAAAATTATAGTAGAGAATAGTTATTTCTTGATTTTCAAAGTTTCAAGGTTTCTTTTTCTGTCAGCCACTGTGCATTTATGTCACTGGTTTGGATAATGTTTTCTAATTTGAAAAATTACATTTCTAGTGGAGAAAATGAATAGCTCTTGAAGTAAGTACTCTTAAGAATACTGAAAAAGTTTTTT